GTTATACATATGGCACAACGCGACAATATAATATATTATTATTATTATTATTTTGTTTATTGGTACCTGTATTATAGAGGAGCGGCTATTCCTCAGGGCGCTGCGACGCGCCGTCGTACACATACCTATCTATACTGCAGCTGCTAATGTACATATTATTATACTTCTTCTAGACTACGACACCACGGCGAGCCGCTCCTTATTTACTTTATATTTTCTGTTTTGTTTTTTGTTTTTGTTTCGCGACCGCTTCCTTGCCGCAGCAAAGACTACAATACACCGACCACGAGCCCAAAGACATAATATAAGATTATACCCATTACACCGCGATTTACACATCTCAGTGGCATTATTATAGGTATAGACCGCAAATGAAGAGGTCCAACACGGACGTGCGTCGTTTAAACGTGAAAATCCGTTCGCTACACCTCTATATGCGCTTCTTTGCCTCGTCGTACGTCTTAAATAATGTATGTATAACGTATATATACCTAATCACGTGACATCATTCTTATTGACATACCAGCTGATAAAAATGTTTAAATGACTACCTATTATTGATATTCTTATTACAGCGCACAATCCCTCCCCTCCACCAACCTTTTTAAGTGAATTACGAAGCATATGGCTTTTTTGGAAAATGTAAATGCATCTGAATCAAAATCGAAAGGGGAATTTATGAATTATTATAATTAATATAATAAGAACAATGATAATGTAGTCCTTAAAGAGGGTTTTATAAAAATATAAAATAGATGTGATATTGAAACTAGTATTTACATATTTAGTATTTACCTACATATACTCGGTCAGATTTAACAAATTGTAAAACATTGATGTAATTTAATATTAATTAGTATAATTAATAAAATTTTTAAATCTTCATAGAAGTCCCCATATCTTCCAAATCTATCATCGTAGATCTATTATACTTAGTATACACTATGTGAAATAATTCAAAAAACTACTCATTTAAATTTAAATTTATAATATTATGTACAATTTATAAGTTATCTAATTGAAAATTTCCAGTAAAAAGTGTGATTTTCGTACGGAAAAAAAACAGATGTAGATGTCACAGGACACTCTTTAAGTAGTATAAAAAATCTGAAGATTTGAAAATATGGACTCTACAATAGTACCTATAATTAAAAACTCTAAAAATTAAAATTTGAACGAATTCATTATTCGTGCTTGGAGAATCGTCCTGTATAACAATTTATTTATATTATAAAGATTAAAATATAACATTATAACCAAATGCGGACTGATTATTCATACGTCGTCGACACACAATCGCATTATATTATTATTTATTACACATTTACACACGTTATTCAATCGTTTCGACAAGTGACGTTCATCGTTTTTAATTAATCGAATCTATTATACATTATGTGTATTATATAATAAACACATTGTACAATTATAAAAAGGCATATGAACAATCGTCAAAATAACCACCGAACTGCGGTTGACCGCCAAGCTGTTTCTATTTTTTCGTTGAGAGTAACGGTAATTTGTTTTTTTTACACAAATGTGTCAAGTAATACTAACAGCAATACAAAATGATTGGAGGGTAATATATAGTTTCCGGAACAGCTGAAAATGTTTGCTGTTGTCGAGATTCGAGACAAAGCCTTCTGGGAAATAACCGTAATCATTTGAAACGCACAACATAATATAATAATATTACGTAGAAAAAAATGTCATCTCATCAATAAAAAAAATAACGCAGTCCGCAAAAAATAATTATTGAACATATTATGACTATATAATACCAATATACCAATATATTATAATCTAATGATTTGACCTGTTATATATTTTGTACTTATATACAAGTTTTTGTATTCGACCGATTCGGATGCTTATACAGCCATACAGGACAGTATTATAGGTTCCTAAATAATAGAAATATTCCATAATATAAATATTATCATCATGTGAAAAAAAAATTAAAAATCGCGTTGTGCGTTTAGTGTATACTGGATGATTATTTGACGTAAGACATTTTTTAAATACAATTTTAAGTCATTAAAAAAGCAAAAATTTTCTAAAAAAAATATATTTAGACTAGGTACTTGTCCGAAATTTGATTTTGTGGTTTTAATATAAATATGTTGTTAGCAAAAGAGTAAAATCTTAAAAAAATTATAAGAATAAAAATAGTACAAATATAATTTTTTCCAAAAATATTATTCTGTAACGACTTAAAATCATTAAAGAGATATTCTCAAAAACGTTAGTTTTTTTCTGATATAACAAGTGTCTATTATAGACTGTATATAATATGTACAATGTACAGACGTACAGCACACATTCACTGAAAATCAGTTGAACACGTGGTTTATAATGTATTTAGGAAATAATAAAAAATCATTTAACTTTCAACTGTTATAAAAGTACAGGCGAATTGTATAACAGTATAATAATATGTTTATACTTTTACATAATATATGATAAAGTTATAATATACTTCAATAATATTATATAGACGAGCCGAAAATTGTGTAGTACGGCCCCCATCCTACGCTCCAAGTCGTGTCATTATTATTGAAATAAATAGATACGTGAGGTGACGCACGACGAACCGAAATACAATTTGTGCGTATGACCACAGAACAATATGACGTACGTATATTATAGTATTATTGTTCATATATTATTATAGTATCATAGTTTCAGGTAGTGTACGTCCTACACACAGTAGCACAGCACCGAACATGAAGACTTTACCGATATATTACCAAGTAACGTATTGACTAGCGTATATTTCAAATCTACTACGAGAGGTCCATAGGGATCTGTCGTGTTCGTCCTTAAGAGACTCGTGCAATCATCATTCGTATAGTATATAGATACGTTATATAAATTAATAAAATTATGTCGTGTGGTCATTATAATTATAATTATTCTAGCTTAACGCGCCGTACGTCAGACTAGGTATATAGGTAATATTTATACAGTGGAGGACTATCAACAAATTCGGACCGGGAAAACTATTTCACCAGCCCTCGAATTTGTTTTTCATACTGGGTATGTTTATTGATTGTTTTAGCTTTGTGTATGGGGAAAAAATATACTTATTTTGGAATTTAATAGAACATGTTGCTCCTAGAATTAATAATTACTAAGCATTAAACGAAATAATTCATAATTTGCACTAAATAAAAACAGAAAATAATATTAAATGTAAAAAAAAGTAGGAACATATAGTTTGAGTGTGTCTACTAATTAGGTATATTTTAGAGGCCCACTGGGACCGATATCCCACCAGCATAGTCCACCATTGCATATCATAAGACGATAAAATAGGTTTTACAAATTGTATTGTTATTTTTTAGCTTTTAAATTGCACATAAAGAACACCCGCATAATAAAATAACAACTGTTTTACTGCATAATGATGCTCAACAGTTTAACTCAGGCTCATATTATATTATACAGGGTGTCCAAACGGTTAGTTGCAGAGTACCTAGATCAAACGTTAAAGCTATAAATTATAGTATTTTAGTCTAAAGATATATTATGATAACAGACTATGCGCACACGAAACACGTGAGAAGAGTTTCATCTTCAATTTGTTTTAAAATGTATTATTCATACGTTTAGATGTTTGGTCAACCCTTTACTGAATGCCACTGTGTAATATAAACTCGAGGTGACCGTCGAGTAGAGCTTCAAGCGAGCACACACACCTGCGCAACAGGTGCAAACGCGCAACGAGCGTTCAAAATGTAAAATACATAAGTGTAAAAAAAATATAGCAACGACACAATTATTATGGTTTATTCCACAAAATGCTCTCTTAATAATAATATATTATGTATACCTATCGTGTATACAGTCTCGCGTTAGTGCTGTTTACCTATACGGCTATACATATAAATCATCAACCATGGTAGGTACCTAACTTATTGATTTTATTAATTTATGCGTAGATACTAATATAAACTGTGTATATTATAATAATTATAAATTAAATAATAAGTATTCAAATTATTCAAGTTTATTTACATGGTCCTTTTTTTTGTGTATTGAGTGCACCAACGTTGGCTACTCCTGCTTTATAAAAATACATCTATGGGTAAAATATAATTCTAATAGAATTACTACAGAAATAATATGTTTCTTATATAATATTATGTGTGAACCGGTGATGTAAATTCAGCTAACTTATATAAATACGAATTTTGAATAATACTAATTACAATGTACAAACAAACGATCTAGGCAATATAAATAATCAAATTGATGATATTACTGTTTTTTTTTTTTAATAAATATTATATATACCTATAAGCTGTATAGTGTTATTAGAAATAGTTTAAATGAACTTGCTTTTTGGCTATTTATTTTTTACATAATTATAGGTCATTATACAAAACAAGATTATAAAAAATATAATTTTAAATTGTTTTTTAATGTTCTACAATTGTTTAATGACAACATACAATTTCCATTCCGCATTCTAAAGTAGAATATTTTTTGGAGTACTTCGGTAACAAACATCAAATTCCCTTGGAATAGTATTTTATGAGTTATAAGTAAATTTAAAATGTTGATGATTAGAGTAGTCACAGTGGTACCCAATACAAGGAAGGTACACAACTCCTCTTCGGAATATGAAATTAAAAATGTGTTGTCATTCAAAAGAGTGAAAAACATAAAATATGATAATGATAAAAAATTTAATATTTTTTTGGAAAACATTGTTTGATAACGATTAACGACCTAAAATTATGTAAAAGAAAAATATTTTTACAAATGGTGGTCGTTTATAAAACAATGTATGTTCTTCGATACAAGATTTACCACTCACCGAGTATACCAAAATTCAGGTTAGTGGATTTTTTTTATGGTTTCCTATATTTATCAAATGGCGTGTGGCATATATTATCTAACCAGATTGATCTGCCAAGTGCCCACAACAAAATTATGATTTTGCACCCACACACATAATTAATTGTAAGTATAAGTACGGTGTTGTTATTAACCTTTGAATTAGGCGGCGGTTCGGGCACGTCCGAGTCCCACTCGGAGCTCAGATCGTCGCTGGACGCCTCACCGTACTCGGCGTGTGGCCATGGCACCTCCAACAGAGACTTCTGGTACTGTTCGTAGCCGGGCGTCGCCGAAGTCGAACCGGTCGTACCCATTGTGCTGCAGGTGGTCATCGCGGTCGTGGAGGTAGCGGTGGTGCGCAACAGCAGTGCCGCCGCCGACGCTGCAGCGGATCCGGCGGCCGGACTCGATGCCCGCCTCATCCGGCTGCTCCGACCTTTGGCTGGCCTGGGGCCCCTGTGCCAAACACAACTATACCCTCGCCGTACTATACACGTGGTATCCGGGCGACGGGACGGGGCAGAGCGCAGCTTTCGAAACACGACTGGATGTGGGAAAAATCAAAATCGACACCACTCAATTTGTTTATGGTCATACCGTGGTCTGCGAATAGTCAAACGCCCCCTCCCCCCAGCTCTTTCAAAACAGTCGAGCACGCCACTGCACGAATATCTTCACTAACTGTATATGGCAGTTTTCGCCGTCGTCCACACTCCTCGTCAGCCGCCGGAGGGGCAGTGTTTCGAAAACGAGCGCTTTCCCGAACCTCACACCGAAGTACCTGCCTATGAACTATACAATATTATTTTATATACGACATGATCCAGCAAATGCTTGACAGAATATTAGATGCGTTTGATATGTGCGTGTGTCTGGGATCGTCAATAATGCATGATAATTGACAGTGCAGTACGAAAAAGAAACAATATATTAATACGAGTATACTCTTATATTATATTATAACATCACGTCGTAACATTGATGCGTATAATATTTATAATACAATAATATAGAACGTACGCGTGTCTCAGTCGATGTGTGAGATTATTTCAAAGTGTTTGTACTATATATAATACTATTATTATGTCACTCCATCGCGATCACACACCTCTCGATCCGTCCGTCTAGATGAAAACGGTCGCGATGATAATTATACGGTCGGGGTCGGCGCCGGCGGCCTGTATGGGGTGAAAAAATGTACTGCGGCACAAAAATGTGCACAGAAATCTATGCACAAAAATCGCAGAGCAGTTCATATTACAATATGGAAAGGCGGTAAGCGTGCACTTGAACAACTATTTGTACAACCGGTTTACCAGAATACGCGACGTGATTTACTCTTCTCGGACGAATTGTTCGTTCTAATAATAATGTATTAAAATATTACAATATATCATAAAATCGTGTGCCGGTAAATATAACGATAATTCCGCGTGTGGCGTGCCTATATCAGATACCTATACAGGGTGATTCACGCCACCATTTTTTCATTAAAAAACGAACTTGTTGTTCGAATTAAGATTACCGAGATTTTTTGTATTGAAAAATACAAACTATAGGACTAACTACTTAAAGAGTGTCCTGCTGTGGCGATTCAAACTTCTATTTTTCAAACCACCTTTTTTACTGTAATTTATTTTGTGGATATTAATGTACCTTCTTAATTCAAAATTCTAATCGTTCGATTAGTAGAAAGGGTGAGTTTTCATTCTAGAACCTTGTATACTAGAACCCTCACTAGACACTCCCTAATGAGTACAAAAAATCTCAGCGATTTAAAAATATAGTCTTTAAGTATATTGTTTAATAATTTCAATAATCAGATTTTGAATAACTGCATCATTGTAGAAGAAAAAGTTAAGTGAATCACCCTGTATAAGTGGGGCGATAATAGTAATATAACACAAAAATATTTGAATTACGGAAAAAATCCCCGGTTTAGAAATTCATAATTTTTTTATTATTAAAATAAAACGTACAAGATAAATGTGATAAAACATAATATACGTGTAGGTATAAAATATTTATAATGGTACCTACTATTTTGCGCAATATAGTATATACATTAGAATTAGGAGTGATTTCCTACGTGTAGGTACACGCTTTGGGATAATTAACTTGTTCCGATTTTTGCAATCATAATTTATTGCAACAAATGTGTCATAGCGAAATAATATTTATGATGTATAAATGGAAATAAAGCTTCTAGCAAATTTGCATTATTTTATATATAGATGATGGATTGTATTTTACGACTTGCGCACGTAATATCCATTTATATCCATTTTTTTTTTAATGTGATTAAATTCAAAACACTAAACAGTAAATGGAGGTACCTATACTATATAAAATAAGAATAACAAGTATTATACATTTAGTTGTGAATTATTTGATGTTAAATACAGATATTTGAGGAGGTATTTAAAATACTACGTTCAAGTGAATTTTTTATTTGGTTTGTGAATTAGTTATGTTTAATAATGTATAATATTACTTAGTTATCTATTACTCATAAAAAAGGGTTTTTTTTAATATATTATATTATTTGATTAGATATGAAACTGTAACGTATAATTAAATTTCTATACTGGAGAATTTTTTTTCATCAACACAATATTCTAGTACCATACCATTATAATCCCATATCATACATATTAAATATTTTAGCAAAATGTTACGTGGGTTTCACAGGAAACTATTTTTTTTTCGGTTTCACTCGCGGCCGCAGCGTTAAGAGGAAGCCACTCCCGCATGTGTTATCTCCGTCTTACAAATATTGAAACGTACAGCATGGCAAAATTTGTTGCACAATAGTCCATTATACTCGGTTATTTTTAAATTTAGAATCAATTGATCTGTTTTAAGATCTAAAGGTGAGGTTATCTGAAGCATCTCGGTGGATTTTATTAATATTTTAATTATAAATACCTATTTATGATAATTTTTAAATTTTCTAAGAAATTACAGTACTTATTAAAATGCTCATATAACTTTCTTCGTAATTACAATATCAATAAAGCCTTCGATATGCCCAAGTTAATACATTTAAATCTTATATCAAGTCAATCCACACTAATTTTAAGAACAGCTGCAGAGTAAAGTGGATAATTACAGTGAACGTAAAATGTTGCCTTGTGCACGGTTGTCTTCTCAACGCTATATTTTGGTCACCGTACAGCGCGTGTCGACGATAATTATATCGTCATAAAAAAAATATTTATAAAGGTGGAAAAAAAGTGTCGAGCTGTACAGATGGCTGCCCGAGTCGGCAGTGGACCGACACAATATAATATAATATCATATTATTACTACAGTGGTCGTCGTTAGCGGCTGTCATCTACCGAGCGCGGTTGCGCTCACGATTTCTCCGCAAAATACATCGATGAACACCACCGCATAACAACGATATAATAATATAATTTATATACGCATCACGACGACGTTTATTATATAGGCGAAGAGTATACAATCCGTCAAACAATTTTGAAACGTAACGACCGCGAAAACGTCGCTGTTATATATATTTATAGAAATATACGTATGTATAGGTACATTATTGTAAATGTGATGACGGCGAAGACGTCCGATGACCCACGCTCGGGAATATTATAAAGAAATAATAATAGTAATAATAATAGAGAGACAGTAAGAGAGAGAGATACAGTGACAGAGAGACAGATAAGGACAGATATGGAGACACAGAGATAGTGAGAGACCGCGGACAAACGGAAAAAAAAAGTCACGTAAGTCATCCTTGTATAGGAAGGTACACGTCAATACGTCATATATATTTGTCGCGCGATAATAATACCTATAACAGCCATATTCGGTCGCGGTATCCAAGTATATAATAATATTATATATAGGTAAGTACACGAATACGACATTCCGATACGCATCTGCAATATATGCCAGTGAACATCGCATGGCGTAGATATACGAGTAGTTAAGCTCTTTTAAAATACACGTACGATTTCCATCTCTCGTCTTTGCGGTTTTTTTTCGTCGGAAACAAGACGCGCGTATTATATTATCGTATACCCCCTGCCTGCATATTATATATATATACACGGGCCGTCTGTATAATTATATTATACTTAGGTCTACGACATAATTACGACGCCGTGGCCGTGCGAATGAAGACGGCGACGTCCAAGCGCGCGGTAATCTGTAGTTATACAGTGCCATTTGACTTAATATTATTATACATATATAGTATACTATAGGCAAGTATACGACGTATATAGTTGTGTGCAATTTAATCTGAAGGAAACGCGTCGACGCGACAGACGTCGTCGTCGTTGTCGTCATCGGGTCGTCGTCGCGAAGATAATATGTTTGTACTATTATATTATATAGGTATAATAGGTACTTCCCGCCTGGTGGTATATACGCGATGAAAAAAAATAAATAACGTTCGTTATAATTATTGTAACCGCTGTAATAATAATAATAACATTATACACCTGTGTCTAGATTGCAGAGCGCAGACGGCATAATATACATACCAACACATACTATTATATTATTATATAGGTACTTATAGAGGTGTATACGAAGATGGTCACGAACGATCGTGTGGAATGATTGTAATCACGATCTCGGTGTCATCCGTTTGACTTTCTGATCAGTTTCGTGAAATTGATAGAAATGTCATTCATTTCATGAAACGGACCATCGTTTTTATCACATCGCGAAATTACACAGCATATGGATTACTTTTTACTAAACGGGCAAGAACATTTAGTAGTACGGTCGTACGGAACTCGATCCGTAATCTGTACAAACGAAACAATGATAAATATTAAATTGATAAAAAAATGTAGAAACTAATTTAGCATTTTATAATAATTTAAATTAAATTTCGAACTTTTAAGAGGATACTCGCACATTTTGATTCCAAGATGTATAATTTTAAAATGCTCCTACATTTCTAAATAATATTCTTACCTTTAAATTTTATAATATTTAAAATTCACTCAAGACATCCCCTTAGGTTTCAGTTAAAGTTTAATTGAGTGTAATAGTTTAATTTGTTTCTATTTTTATAAATTTAATACGCATTATTTAGTAATGTGGATCTAAATATTATGGAACAAGTTCAATAGGTATCCTACTAAAGTGCTAAATATCCGTGTCCGTTACTTGAAAAATTATCTATATTATGTAATTACACAATGTATAATTAAGGAAGGTCTGTTTCGTGAAATGGAAGAAATCTTTATCCGTTTTACGAAACGGATCAGAACTTCAAATGGATGCTATAAAAATAATATAAACGGCAGCCGGCTCGGAGACTTTAACGGGCAGTGCTTATAAGCCATAAGGGTAGATATACCTAGGTAATATGTTACGTGTGATGCATATAAACTCATGTTCGCTTAGGTAGTATTATAATGTTATATTATTCTTATATAAACTA